GAGGGCCTTGGGCTAATCAAAGAACCACAATGTGATTTAGGGTCACTCAGTATCAGTGGACCTGTAGACTAGATCAACCACGTGGGCAATCAATGAATCCTGCCTACAAAATAACCTCAATGAAATATATTAACACAGAAGCTCAGGTGAGCTTCCTGGGTGGCAATACTCCATGCCTATTATCACACATTGGTACCAAAAGACACATTGGTACCAAAAGACCCTCACTCTATAGGGAGAGGACACTAGAAGCTTTGTATTTGGTACTTCTGCTGGACTCTGCCCATGTGTTTCTTTCAGTGGCTGATTTTAATCTACACCCTTTTTCTTGTAATAAAGCATAACCAGGAGTATAATAATAATAGCTTTCAGTGAGTTCTGTGAGTCCTAGAAAATTATCAAACCAGAGAGTGATTCTCCGAACCCCTCACACTTAATGGTCTTGGGGGCTGTGCCCTTGAACTTTGCAGGTGGCCCAAACTCCTTGCAATAGCTAATTATGGCATTAAGTGCAAACTCTAAGAAGATAAGGATCTTAGCTATTTTACTCACCTTGTATACTCAGTATATATGTAGCAACTGGTATGTGGCAGAGTTCCAATAAACACACGTTGAATGAATTTTAGGTTTACTGAGACTGACTTGGAGAACACACCAGCCTTTGTGCAGTGATTTGTAAAAGCACCAATGAAGCTTTAATTGATGTAATCACCGTTAATTGTCCAACTATTCTATGAAACTCATTCCATCTATTTTGGAATAAGCAACTCTTTCAAATTCAACATGTCTTTAGTGAGAATATTTTACCAAAGAAAGTGCTTAATACTGTGGTTGAGGGAACTGTGTGGCCCAGACAGCAAAGATGAATATGACCATAGTTCCTGCCCACCAGCAAAACAAAATCCAACTGCTGTGACATTAAAGCAGAAGTAGTATCTAATTCCCACTTGAGATGGAATGGAGACAGGTGACAGATCAGGTAACCATTTGAGCTGAGCTATAAGGAAAATTATGAATTACACAGGTACACAACATAAAAAGGCAAATATAACAGTATCAGTGATGCCACTAAAATAAATATTACTTTTATTTTATATATATCTTATTACATATATCACTTCATATAATAATTATCTAAAATACTATATAATTGATTTTCTAACCACAACTTGAAAATAATCTAGCATTATAATTTTATACCAAACAATGCATATCTGCAATTGTTTTATGTATACAAGATTCAGTTCAAACTGCTTAAATGTAAAAAGATACCAACATGAGTAAATTTATGGAGGAAAATGGAAAAAGGAGACTTGCTTGGGCTTTGCTCTCTCCATTTAAGTGAATCTAACTTAAAATTTTACATTCTTTGATTATTTTCAAATTTTCAGCACAAGAGACTGAAAAGCAAGATACAAAGGTAAAATGTACATAGGATCAGAAAAATATTGGTCTACTCAGAATTTTGTATCTGTCTAAACTGCAATTTAAGAGTAAAAGTGAAAGGGTACCAAAACAAGTGAATTTGCCATCTACAGACTCTCCTTTACACAAAGCAATTAAATATTTAGTTTAGAAGTGAACCCACAGAGATCACATTTGATATGCATATACCTGCAAACAAAAACTATATGCATAGAAATTATCCAAAAGATTGGTAAATTAAATGACTAGCTATAAAATAACTAATTGTCCATATGATTTTATTTTAAAGTTCAACTAATCAAATTGGTGGGAAACGCTATGATATTTACTAGCAAGAATCATCCTAAGGGCCATGAACTGTTTGGAAGGAAGATAGAAACACTAAAAATATTTAGCAAACGATGTAATTATTTATGTATGGTAAAAAACTAAGAATAAACCATTAAAGGAATAAAAATATAGCCTAAGTTTACAAACTAAGAGAAGATTTTAAAAAATAGAAAAATTTCAATAATGCAATAGCAACTAAGAAAAACAGAAAAGAGAAGCAAAAGTAGATGTAAAAACTATAAATTATTATGTCAAAAAATTCAGATACACCAATAACCTAATCAAATATATACAGATTAAACTCATCTATTAAAACAAAGATTTTCAGAATGGATTTTAAAACTATAGCTCTATGCTACCTAACAGTCACTCCATCTTTACCACTCTTTCCTCCTGTCTCTTGGTTAAAGAAGAGAAATCAAAAGTCACAAGGGAATTCATTCCTAGCTTAAATATGAATAGAGCCAGGTAGCTGATGCTAGATATATGATACCTTTGTGAATTTCTTTTGGATTCTAAGTTAGCTTCTTTAGGGATGCTTCCATTTGCCCCAGCCACTCTGCTCTCCCTCCACATACCCCAGTTAAAGCCCTTATTGGTGTGCCCAGCTCCCCTGCTTCATGTGAAATAGGAAACCGCTTTTCAAAGGACTTCCATCCTTAATACATACATAAGACCTCAGAAAAGCCAAGGTTAGCAGCTGGTTTTTAACTCACCAAGAGAAAGCATTGTGATTCTTGGTTTGAGGCAAGTTTGATTTAAGTGGAGAGGAGAACTGAAAATTGATGCACCCAAAATAGGTAACTCAATTGGTCAGCCCCATTACAAAAAAGATACTGCAGTAACATTCTCTAAATTTTAAGAGCAAAGAGTTTCTTAACCCCTCTCACCGTGCTCCCCTCACCCATTCCCACTTTAGCTTAACCTCAGTTCTAAACAAGAAAGATAGAAATAATGCATTTCTGAAAAACCTACAGAGAATGAAACCAACCTCCCCAAACACACACTCTCTCTCTCTCTCTCTCTCTCACACACACACACACACGCACACACGCTACTGCATAATTGTTTAGTCCCTACAATATTGTTGTCAAACTTTCTGTGTTTTTCTTCTTCCCAGGCCTCTGGAAATCAACTCTATTCTGAAGATCTGAACTTTATGGTTTTGTAGAATTGTAATCTGAATTATGACTATTTAAATGTAATTAATTAATGCAATCTACCTTTAGCTGCTTATTTAATGACTGATTAAATCTTTAAAGTAATATTATCCTGAGACCATCTCCATGTTCTGATTTTTATTTAACACAAAGCTTTTTTATAAAAAAAAAGTTTAACTAGAATTATTCAAAACAACAACTTGTTATCTTTTTTCCTTTTATTTTAGTTCCTACATTTAAAATAGACTCACCATAAATGGACATTAAGAACTATTAGAACTATGACATTCTAAGAATGAAAGCCCAGTATTTTGACTGAAAATGTACTTAAGTATTATTTTGAGCAAAAACTGTTGAAAGATGCTTATGTACACATATAGTATATAATTGTGTACTTAGATCAAAATATATTCAACAGTAAAATAGTAACTTTAAAAATTCTAATTCGAATGACAAATGTATTACTAATAAACAAGAATAATGCAAGTTTTAGGGCCAAGGGAATTCTTTCCCTTTGCCCTCTGAAGGTTCACCAATAATCAGCTGACAAAAGACAGATTAATAGATATAAAGGCATACAAATTTATTAAAGTGCACAAGGGAGAATTGTGGAACGATTGTCCCACCATGCAATATAGATGATTATATACAATTATTCTTTGGGAAAAGGGAGATGTGGAAGTGTGGATGATTTTAGGGGGGTAGTCAATAATTTTTAGGAGCATCCAGTGGCCTGGGACAGTCCTACAGAGCAGACACTGGTTTGTGACAAAACTGGTTTGTGACAAAAGTCTGTTCAGGTGTGTTGACAGACTTCAGTCTTTCTTCCTGAGATATGAATTCAGTTAATGAAAAACTCAAGGAAGAGACCAGAGGTAATTGTTTTCTTCTTCAGCAGTCCAAACTTTAGGCAGATAAGAGAACTTCATTGTGTGCTTTGGGAGAGACAGAGAACTGAGAGACAGGAGAGGGGTGGGAAGCTCAGGGAGATCTAGTTCACCATATCAAAGTGCCATATTTTGGGGGTTTGGTTTCAGAGCAATAAGATACCAGATATTTGTTTAATTCAATGATGAAAGATGTTAATAAAAACTAGTCAATAACTGATTTAAAATCCAGTAGGGATACATGATCTTTCTAACCCACCCTGTGTTATTTACTAAGATCATCAAAAGTAAGGGTGGAAATTTGCAACCATGATTTTCAAGGAATTTTTTTCATGAACTACAAATAGCCAACTCTCTTATGAGAAAGCAGAAATTATATATATATACACACAACATTCACTGCAGCCACATCCTCTCAATGCATAAATTATTATCTTGAGAGTGAGACAGGCATCAGAATAGTGTTAACTACTTTAAAACATGTCAGTGCTGATAATGTAGCCAGTGATGCTACCTAATTGACCAGTTTGGGAATGGAAAGGGATCTTAGACAACATGGTATCCACTACTCTCATTTAAAGGTTCAGAAATAAAGCCGAAGATGGGTGTGATTTGCCCAAAGGGATATATGGATAGTAACTGAAATGCAAATAAAATTGAAATATCCCTACCTCTAATCCAGTTCATATTGCCTTTGAATTAAACAGTTACTCTGAGAATCTGATGCATTAGATACTACACATTTATTAAATACAAACAAAACCACAATCTATTCTTAAAGTTTTTTCTCCACAATAGGACAGAAAAGACACCCCTCAATTTGTCTATTGAAGAATTTCTGTTCTTAAGCTATCCTCCGTGCTTGAAAGAGAGATAACAAGAGAAAGGAAAAATGTCTTACTTCTTGGATTAAACAGGTAAAATTCAAAAGATAGGCTATTTTCTAGAAGTGGAAGCTAGACATAGAGAATTTATATTGCATGGAAAGTAACTGGCTTTTTTTCATTTAACAAGACATGATCTTTAACATCCTAAATTATAAAATCCTCATAATAATGCTGAACAACAGGATCAGAAAATATAAAATGACTTCAACTTCCAATTTTCTTCTCTAAAATAATGGTTATTCCATGACCTCTCGATGACAGTTTTGGCAGTACACACACACACACACACACACATACTACATGGTACTTACTGAACTGTAGAGATAACCTTCACCATTCATGGCCACATAGAGGCTGGCCTTCACCCCTTGGATGGCCACCACACGCAGGCCCACAGGAATTAGATTGAAGAGGGCTAGAGAGGCAAAAAAGAAGACAGAGAAGAAGAATTAGTGACCTCTTGAATAAATCATCTTGCTTCCTACAATGATTCTTTTGAGAATTAGAACCTATTAATAGAAATTGGTAGGGAAAAGGAAAGCGAAAGAGAAAGACAGAAAAGGTCTAAAAATGAGGAGAACTGACTTCTTGACTCTGCCCCACCATGATTGCCTATGTTCAGGTATGTTACATAGACTCATGTGTAATAAAGGGGTTAGATCAGAAGGTCTCTAAGGGTCCCAACTGGATCTGAGAGTCCAGCACCCTTGCTTCTCAAAATGAACTCATACTCAAACAGTATAGCACAAGATGATTTTTTTTCCAAAAATTAAATAATTTGAATCAAAAAATTCTCAACTGTAAAAAATGTATCTGTAGTCATAAGAAATAATAAAATATGATCTCTAAAATACATGGCAGAACTTCTTATTTTCAGTCTTTTCCCTGTGGTTCTCAACATTGTCTTGAACACAGAAGATGTATGGAAAAAACACAGACTCATTGGTAGTAACACTAAGGATACAACTTTTCTCTTGATATTTCAGTTTTTCACATGTAAACAAAGGTATATAAATGGATAGATAAATGATTGATAGATAGCTTAAGCTACAATTGATATATTTTATATATGTATATTCAAAACCATTAAAAATTAATTTGGCAAATTTAATTCAACATTCTAAGATGAAATGAGAAAATACTTGTCTTTAAATATTTTAGTTGCCTAACACTCAAAATACGCAACACTCTATAAAGTTCACTTGTAAAAGGAATTCATACATCAGAAAAAAAGATAACAAAGAAGATAATCCTCTAATTTTCTTCTGACAATGTATTCCTATAATTATATACGCTTGGCACTATTCCAGATACTTTTGGGATTACAAAATGAGCATAAGCAGATAACATTGCCTCCATCCTAAAACAATTTGTATTATATATGGAAGAAAAGCAATCGTATAGTTAGGACCTGTAGATGGCAACATGGATATGAATTTAATGCTTCATGACTACATGCATAAGAGAATATCTCTGCAGTTAACTTTTATATTTTGACTTAATTAAAAGTTCTTATCTACCTTTCCTACTGATAAAATTCCTATCAGTTCTTGTCTTCTCACACATAAATTAACCTAAGGGCTACTATTACTAAGGAATGCTTCTATTTTGGGGGGCTTCTTTCAACCTGTAATAGTAAGCTAAACACACACACACACAGGTGCACACACAGTATTTGGCTTTCAGTCAAATGTTCAATTGAGAATTGTAGAGGATCAAGCCTTAGACAACAAGTTTAGCATAGCATGATTCTATTCTTAGCTGTTCACATTGGATCAGTTTCTTTGCTTCTTCAAACCTGTTTCCTCATTTTTCATGAAAATTGACACTAAATCTTATTAGTTGCTTATGGATTGTTGGCTCAATTCAGATCTGCACTAGTTTTTAGTTCTCCTATATTCTTACCATTGTCCCGATGCTACTAAAATAATTTAAGAAATACAAAACCTTAAAGCCTAGTTGAGGAGAAAAGTCTAAGACATATGGAATAATCTGATATAGTGTATAATTTACTTCTATAATTAAATATAATATATGCATTCTATAAATATTCTCTGTGTTAAGAAGTTCAGGAAAATGGAAGATCTACGTGGCCTGAAGTGCCTCACACAGAAGGTGGAACCTAACTTGGCACTTAAAGAAGGGGCAGACATAAAGAAAGCCAACAACAGAAGAACATTTTACTGGGGCAGCAAGTTAGGTGGTTTTGCAGAGTAACATGTGTATGCAGGAAGGGACTGGCAGACTGAGGGATTTGATTTATATTGGGGAGAAATGAGAAAGAACACCATCTAAAGTAAGGATAAATAACCAAGAGTCTTGTCACTCTAATCTTAGCGATCTAGACTTCACTAAATGGGCAACAAGACATGTGACATATAAAGACTAGAGTAGCAACACAGATACAAGAGTGTAAGATATTTCCAGACAACATAGTTTCTAAACCCACTACTCTGTTACATAGCTTTGAGCTATGCATTTAACCTCCCTGCCTTGGTTCTCCTGTCTTTAAAATGGGTATAATGATCCTTTCTGCACAGACTTGATAGAAGAATCAAATGCATTATTGTGTTCCTGAAAGGAATTCATAAACAAAGAAGTGTCCTGTCTACATAAGAATTATTTATCATTAATGCCTAATCACTCTGCTTGTCAAATAAGGTTACCATAGGGCTGATGTAAAAACTGACATATTGCCTCAGCAATATTCTTTGAGTTTATTTTCAAAAGCTTGCTTAACGCTTTAAAAGATAATGCTTTATATTTATACAATGTTTAATTTTCAAAGTGCTGATAAATTCATCAGTTGGATTTGATCCTCAACCATAAACACTATGAAGAATTTAGGGGCAGAATCATTACCTTAAATTTTAGAAGGACAAACAAATTTTAGCAAGGTGACATAGAAGAAACCACATCTAAACAAAGGTTTTCTGGCTCTCTATTGTGGTTATCTGCCCAAAATACCATATTTCCTCCTCTTGTTCTTTTAAGTTTAATTTCCCCTAATATCATTCTTGCCTTCTTGCAAACTAATAGATGATTTAGCCACATTTCCCTGCATATCTCAGATGTAGCTCCAATGGACTCAATACTGGCTAATGAGATGTAGGCCAACGGGTCCATATAAGCTTGAAGAATCCTTAAAGACAGCTTATAGGTGTCTTTTGTCCCTTTTCACAACCCTTTGCCTTATTGCTGCCTGGGCAGGGAGGTGGTAACTGGATCATTTCAGACCATGAAAACAAGGTCTACTCCCTAGTGAGCAGTGGCAGGTGAGCTAGAAGGAGCTGGGTCCCTGAGAACTTTGTGAGCAGTGGCACCCGTCCAGCATTCAATTACCTCCAGCTTTTCGGTGAGAAAATGAGCCCTTGTTATTTTAGTCTGTGCAATGCAGAGACAACCCTAATCCTAACCAATAGCGATTGCTAATGAAAGCAGAATTAATTTGTAAGGTCTGAACATAAATGCAGAGTACTTATACATTGTAAATAAAACCAGCTACTGAAAAAATATCAAGTTCAGTGGCAATTCTTGTGAGAAAGAATAATGAAATCCCAAAGTGTGAATAATGTCTTTCTAAAGTAAAGACTTCCCAGGACAAATGCTAAGAACATCAGTTCATGTAGCTGGAATAGAAGAAAAAAGCAACTATAAGGCTTTTCTTATGTGAAAAGTAAGAGAAAAACTGATAAAGCTTGGCAGGGACAAAACCAAGAAACCTGTGTGAATGTTTCATATGAACCACAAGGTGATAATGGTTTTTAGATGGCATGCTTTGGGAGACTTACCAAGTCCATTAAAAAAAAATCAGTAAACAATTTGAAATGAGACTTTTTACAGATAAAAGCTGAAAACTATTCTCTTTGGGAGGGTCCTCATCTGCCTCCTAAAATCCCAAAAAGTGGCAAGTGACTTACCCTTATATGTTATTTATCTTCAGTGTAGTGTACTTTGCTGCCAGCTGCCTTCGCTACTCTGTGATAATTCCTCCTTAATTTCCGGTCTTCGTCTCCATCCTCAAAGCCACTGCCCTAACAGTAACTGAGCCCACCCATTCTTCCAGTCCCCTGTAAATGACTCATGTTATTTCCCTGTTTACAAACTGACTCTTCCCTATCTTTACAACCTGGCTCCAGTCCACATTCCCACTTGTCATCTGTCAACCCTTCCATCCACTGCAACCAGCTTCATAGAGCTTTTTGTCATTTCCTAAGTTCTCCCTTGATCTTCAACTAGGCTGGAGTTTGTCCTCTTTTGTTCTCTCTTTTTGGAAAGCCTATCTTCCTACCCCTAAATTTGGCCAACTCTCTTCATCCTTTAAGGTTTTAAGGCCTACCTTACTGAACTCCCCCATAAGTCTTGACGATATCCTTTAGAGATAGTAGTTCCCTTTTCCAGAATTTCTTATTTCATGTCCATATCTCCATAATGGCATTTAGAATATGGTTTTAGAATTATTTGTTTACACCTCTATCTCCATCCCTACAATGCAATACTCTTGAGGGTAGTATTGCAACATAGAGCTCAGTTATATATACATAGTTGATATTAAGTAAATGCTATGGATTAAATAAATGCTATTGATTATAAGGGTCATGAAAAGACGTTATTTTTAGGAATTTATGTTTCCTTATTGGAACAAACATTTTTTTAAATAAAAATGAAATAAAATCCTTAAAGCATCTCAGCCTGATATTCAAAGTTATGTATACAACATACATTTCTGCTGCCCGGCACTTTTATTCCAATATAGTTATTTGCTGCTTCTAATAATATGATCGTCCTCCTCCTACCTTCTAAAATACAAGTTTTTGCTAACTTAGTTCCCTCTGCTTGGAATGTCACACCCCTTATATCTTCACACTGAAATCCCTCACACACTTAAAATGACATGCCATAAATACCAAGTGCTTTCCTTCGTTTCTTAGCTGTCTTATTCCTAGATCTAGAATATTTTTATCACAATTTGTAATTTTATTCCTGTAAAATATCTTGTTTGCTCTCCCAACCACAAGTAAACTGTAAGCTTTCCAAAACAGAGATCATATCTAAAATACACTTGTATAATACAGGAAAAAGAAGGGAAAGAGAGAGGGTGAGGGAGAGAGAGAAAGACTACACAGGGTAGTATATATTCTATTCATATTAAGGATCCCAGCAAACATTTGCTGAATAAAGATTATAATTATATGACAAATAGAGTCCAAGTATTTAATCTGACATTCAAGGATCTTCTTAATCTTGTCATTTCCAAAAGGAGTATCTCATTTAGGAGTACCTCTAAATCTTTTTATAAAGTTGACTATTATATTTTGAAAATGAAATAATGTAGCTGATGCTCTTGGGATCAACAAACTAAATCCAATTATAAAACGACATGAATAAAAGATATGGAAAAAGGTAATGAAGGAA